GTGTTATATATCTATCATGTGGGGACAATATGAATTGGGATGTGAATGTGTGTGCATTATGTAAGTAGTAAATTGGGATCTGAATGTGTGTGCGTTATGTAAGTGGTAAATGCACTTGTTAATGGTGCATCAAGGATGTTGATTAATGCAAAGTTTTGCTATAAATACAAATTGTTCATTGCTATATGGATGTACTTAGATTTAAGAAAAAAGAATAAAATCTCTCTCCCCTCTTTACATTCTTCTCTCTACATTGTAGATATAATGTCTAACATAATGATTCATTTCACTGCTATTAAACAATGAAAGGGGAAATAAGAGTCATTTATCATCCTATGTTAGTTTCAGTGTTGTGTTAATTGAAATACAAGAAACAATTGAATGAGGATTCAGGAGTCGTTCTATATAAATGGGGAATACAAACCCAGAGAGTGAGAGAAAAGAAGGAAAGATTAAATAGTTGACTAAAGTTGATTTGATTAGTGAGAACTAGATGGTGGAATAACATAATTTGTTGAGTGTTATATAACACTCCCTCACTCGTAGAGCTTGTTGATTACAATTGACCCACTCCCTCACTCGTAGAGCTTATTGATTACAAATGACTCATTCATCTATTTATAAGTCTTTTCATTATTGTCTAAAATTTTTCACATATTATGGATATTTGCATTAATTGTACAAATTCTTTACTCTAAAGATCTACAATCTCTCCAATGTTCTACAATCTTTCAACTCTATCAATCACTTCACAATCATTTACACAACTCTCTCAAAGACTCTAGAATTCTATTTTTCTCATGTCATGCATATACCATGCAAAGTTCTTTAACTCTTGCATGTCACCTGCGTGGTGTAACTTTCCATCAGTTAGGCACGCGCTTGACAACCAGCTCGCTTGCATTTTAGATAATACTATTAAGATGCAATGTTGCTTCCTGAATACGAAAATCTGATTAACTGTTTTGAAAGTTGAAACTGTATGTGGGAGGAGAGACATTAATTATCAAAATCTTTTTGAAGCTTATGAAAAAAATTATATTCTTTTCCTTTTTTCTTTTTTGGGTAAGTAAGAGGGTGGATAAAAAGAAAATAGGAAAAATTCCTTATTAGTCTTACTTTTTAAGTCCAAAGACAATCGAATCCTAAAAAATTTTGAGAGGACAAATAAATCTTACTTTTACAATTCATTTCCGTATCAGTTCAAAATTATTTTATTTTTTAATATTACCCTTACTATCAAATTACCAATCATCTTCAAACATAAGAATTGACGTTGTATTGGCTGCTAATTTTTTATTTTTTTTTGGGTTTCTTCCGGGTCTCTCCTCTCTTCTCAAGTCTATGTTTCTCTCACGCCGATTTGGACCTGTGTAGACTTTCCTCTATTGATAGCTGTCTTTGAGAAGCAGCTTCTCACCTCTCTGGAAGCATTCATTCGCAAATTCTCACCAATCAGGCACAACCTTTTTAAATCCCTAAAAATTCAAACCCAAAATAAAAACAACAAATTAATAAAAAAAACAGTATACATATCAAACTTGTATGAATTGTAGGTTCGTCCGTAAGTGTTTAGCTATCGAAAGAAGCTTGAGAAATTGTTGTGTTTGAAGTATTTGGGAAACAGATCTCTGGCGAATTCAGCTTGTCACCAGACGATGAAGGTGGTTCCATCTTCATTCCAAGAGATCAAGTCGTCGATGGACGAATCCTTGACGAGTTGATGGGTTTTGGTGAGGAACGGCGTCGGGATTGATCTCTGAGAATCAGACATCGTCGTCGCAGTAGCCGATTCACCGGTCTGTTCAACTGGCAACAATGCCATACCACCGTTCTTAGATCCAAACCCTAAAATATGAAAATTCACCTCTTTCTTAGATCAAATCAAACTCAATATTTCATTTTCATTTTCTATGCTTTAAAGTTGCACATAAAACAAAAAACTATGGTGGAATTTGTTAAAGCCAATTGCCAAACATGGACTAATCTCCAACTGTAAGAGCAGCAGCACCAGGAGAAGAAGAGTAGACAATCAAGTACACTGATCTACTTTGCTGGTACCACTCATCTATACTTTCTTGTTCACAACCCCCAACTCATCAAATTAACAATCAACAACCAATACAATCAGCGCAGCTCGGTCTCTTCTTCTTCTTTCTCCGGTAGCATGGACGGCATGACAGTTTAGAGAGAGAATGAAAAAGGAAGGTCAGCAACCATACAAGAGTAATGTTGGAAAATAAAATAAATTTGAATTGAATTGAAAATAAATTGTAAAAGTAAAGATTTGTTTGTCCAAAAAATAAAATTTAGGACTTAATTGTTTTTGGGCAAAAAAGTAGGACTATTAAAGAATTGGGTAAAGTACAATCACATCTTATGAGGTTTGGTAAAAGAATACTAAGATAAAACTTACTTGCTTTTTGGACAAAGACACCTCTTAAAGGTTCAAAAATGGACAAAGACACCCCTTTTATATGAGAAATTGACCAAATTACCCTTTGACAGTTTATAAGATTTTTTAACTTTACAATTTAATAAATTGGACCAATCTACCCTCATGAACAATTTATGCATAAAAAAAAAAAAAAAAAAAAACATTTATATTGTTCACCTTCTTCTTCTTTTTTTGTTATTTATTTCATAAATGTCCCAACTTCTTAAAAATTTAGACGTCTAAAATAATTTTTTAATCCAATACATATATTTCAAATAAATTATATCTTGTTATTACTTCATTTCTTTTTCTTTTTTATTTTTAAATTAAGATACTTCATTCTTTCATCTAAAAAAATTAAACGAATCACTTTTTCTTAAAAATAAAAAATATGGTACCGATATAACTTTATGCATCTTAAATTATAAATCAAATATTATGCATTTCCCAACATAAAAGGGAAAAAATAATAATAATAAAACAAAAGGAAAAAAAAATTAATAAAACAAATGGAAAAAAAAAAAACAAACAAACAAACAAAGGCATGCATAAAGTTATACTGGTACCTATTTTCTTTTGTGCTGGGAAATGCATAATATTTGATATATATTTAAGATGTATAAAGTTACACTAGTACCTTATTTTTTATTTTTAAGGAAAAGAGATTCGTTTAATTTTTTTAGATAAAGAATTAAGCATCTTAATTTAAAAATAGAAAAGAAAAAGAAAAAAAGTCATAACAAAATATAATTTATTTGAATATATGTATTGAATCAAAAAATCATTTTAGACGTCTACATTTTTAAGAAGTTGGGACATTTATAAAGTAAAAAAAAAAAAAAAAAAAAAAAAAAAAAGTTTTTTTTACTCTTTTTTTATGCATAAATTATTCATGAGAGTAGATTGATCCAATTTATTAAATTGTAAAATTAAAAAAGTTTCCTAAACGGTCAAAGGGTAATTTGGTCAATTTTTCATGTAAAAGGGGTGTCTTTGTCCATTTTTGAACCTTCAGGAGGTATCTTTGTCCAAAAAATAAGTAAGTTTCCTCTTAGTATCCTTTTGCCAATCAGGGGTATCTTTGTCCAAAAAATAAGTAAGTTTCCTCTTAGTATCCTTTTGCCAATCAGGGGGTGTGATTGTACTTTACCCTAATTTAACTTCTTGTTATATTGCCAATCAGGGGGTTTCGGTTCCAGCCCGTGGGAACCGGTAAGAACCGGAACCGTATGTGTATATATATATATATATATTTAATTTTATACTAAAAAACGAAGTAAAGATAAGCCACTAGATATGAAAAAAAACATATTTTTTTAGTTTTTTGCCCTAAATGTCTCACTCTCTCAATCCTCGCTAGTTGCCTCCTCTCAAATTCTCAATCTCTCATGATCTCATCTTAGGGTTTGACGAAGTGACGAATGCCCAAGCCGATCTGCTCTTGGTGGTTCTGTCTCTATTTTCGAGGTTCTATGCAGTGACTAAACTCGCTCTGAAATGCGATCGCAGATCTGCGAGCATCGGCGACGAAGATCTCAAGCTCATCTCTTTTCGATGTTGAAACCTAACCATCTGAAGCTCTGTGCTTGCCGAGAGTTGACCGACGCCGGCATGTTGGTCATTTGAGGACATCATTATCGACGCTCCTGATCTCCTCGACTACATCTCCAACCTTCCCGATGAGTGCTTAGCTTGCATATTCCAGTCGCTTAGCTCCAGTGATCAGAAACGATGCTCTCTCATCTGTCACCAGTGGCTTCAGATCGAGGGACAGAGCTGTCACCGTCTCTTTCTCAATGCCCAAGCCGATCTGCTCTCGGTGGTTTCGTCTCTATTTTCGAGGTTTGATGCGGCTCTGAAATGTGATCGCAGATCTGCGAGCATCAGCGACGAAGCTCTCAAGCTCATCTCTTTCCGATGCTGAAACCTAACACGTCTGAAGCTCCGTGTTTGCCGAGAGTTAATGGTTCCATGGGAACCGAACCGGAACCGAACCATTTCTACGGTTCGATTCGGTTTCATACTATACAGTTCCGGTTCCGGTTCCGGTTCCATTTTTAAAGAACTGTTATGAACGGTTCCGATTTCGACCGGAACCTTGAAAACTGGAACCGTGTGCACCCCTAGTAGCATGGACGACATGACAGTTTAGAGAGAGAAACAGAGAGGAAAGAGGAGAAACCGAAAGAATCAAAAAGGAAGGTCAGCAACCATATAAGGGTAATGTTGGAAAATAAAATAAATTTGAATTGAATTGAAAATAAATTGTAAAAGTAGGATTTGTTTGTCTAAAAAATAAAATTTAGGACTTAATTGTCTTTGGGCTTAAAAAGTAGGACTATTAAAGAAAATACATTACATACATGTATAGTTGGAGCATACCTTAAGGCCCAAACAAGGAAAGCCCAAGAAGAGGCAAATGGCAAAAAGAAGAAACACACCCAAAACAAGTGCACAAAAAAATGGCCCAAACAATCAGCCTTTTTTCAACAAACAAGGCCCAAACAAACAGCCTGTAAAAAGGCCCAAATCTTTTTTAACTTTGATTTTTGCTTGAACAAAATTCGTTATCATTTGTTTAATCTGTAAACATTTCATTATGGCATTAATAATATCTAGAGTGCTAAGTGCTTACAATATTGTAGATTTTGATTCATACTACTAAATTACTAATTCAACATCACTTACAAAATACATCATCCTGTTTTTACAGTCAAAAAAAGTTTCTAATTTTATATTAATCTCTCCAAAACTTTGGAGTTACTAGTACTAACAATGTATGGCATTAAAAACCGCCCCTCCGGCATGATTGGATGCCGGGAAATGCCCAACCTTGTCGTAGTAGTTCGGATAAAAAAGTTTGCAGAGCTTGTTGTATTTTCCGATATTGAAGTTGTGAACCTTCATGAGCTTTTCTTGTTTTGTCCTGAACCGGCGTCGGAAGTACCCTTCGAAGGAGGGTTCTTTGGAGGTCCGGAGGAAGAAGGCGTAGGCAAGGGCGAAATGGAGTGAGGTGACGAAGAAGCAAATGGGCTCCATCACGTCCCAAGTGAGTTCCCAAAAGGTGAGCCTCATGAAGCCCAACGTCTGCAGGGTTAAAAAGCCCAGCCCACAGTAGAGTTCGCCACGCACCAGTGACTCCGCTTTTCGGTCTATCGTTGCCTTTTGCTCCTCCATCTGTTCCAGCTCCTTTCTTCTCGGATCGTTTGGACTTGCAATGGACTGATAGATTATCGTCTCCATTGATTTTGCAACCTGAAATAATATATATATATATTAAATCATGATTTAAATTATTGAATGAGTGAAAGTGACAAATCTTAATTTATCACTACTATAATGCAAGGAAATTGATTTGCCCTCCCATCCAGAGACTATGTATGATATGATAGAGTGTGTGATAGGACCATAACACACAAATATCCATACTTGAACATTTACTAGTTGAGTTTTGAGTCATGATAAGGCTATCAATTCTGATTTTTTTTTAATTATTATTATTATTTTTTCTCGAATGAATACTATGCGCCAGATACCACATGATAAATATCCCGGGTACTGTAGAGTAGGACCAAACAATACCATTGACTCAACCAATCACCATTAGACACATAAGAAATTGAGTTGGAAAGGAATAAACTTTTTGCTTACTTGTTTAATGATGATTGGCTTGAGCCATTCTCAAACCATTTAGCAAAAGTTAAAGGGTAGTGTACAACACATCGAATATCATATACTCCCTCACACACTCTACCATATCATACATAGTCTCTGAATGGGAGGGCAAATCAATTTCCTTGCATTATAGTAGTGATAAAGTGGTCATATCGTATACTCCCTCCGTCCTTATACAAGTGTCACTTATGGGGAGTAGTAATTTTTAAAGGGACATAAGGGACCATGTATTGTTTGCCTGAAAAATTACTATATTGCCCTTCTAAGTTTTAAATATTGAAGTTTGAAATTTAAACCCAAAGGACATTTTTGAAATGATGTGAAATATATTATTTGAAAAAAGAAAGTGGACACTTATTTTAGGACAGACAAAAAAGAAAAGCAAGACACTTATTTTAGGACGAAGGGAATATCATTCTGAGGCATAAAGGGCCAACGGAAGTATAGAAAAAAAAGGCCAAACCAGAAAAGAAATTAAAATGAAAAACAGACTCCAGATTAGTGTACAAATTATAAAACAAAGTAATAAAGTAAAGAACATGCTTTAGATTTGTGAAGAAAACAGAGTCTAAAACTCTGTAATGGAACCACCATAAGAGAAACACAATAAACTGGAATGATTCATGAGGTCAGGTCATCATCAAGGCAACAGTTTGGAAGCTACAGTCGCAAGGCACTCCGACACCCAAAAAATCCCGCACAAGATCAAATCTAAGCCAGAGAAAACCATATTAGTAATTCACTCTTTTTATTTTGATGTTCCAAATTAGTTATCCGCTATCTTTCTATCATTGTACTTTATATTTTTAAAAAAATTCAAATTGGGTAAGTATAAGTATCTAAACACAAGTTGATAACTATCTTTCTATCATTGTACTTTAATATATTTTTAAAAAATTTAAATTTAGTAAAGTATACATATCTAAACACAATTTGATAATTTTAAAAGGGACATTGTATTAATTATTTGTCTCTTTAAAAATTTTAATTCCTAAATATGGACCTATGGGATGAAAAAAAAAGTACCTCTGATATGGGATGAAAAAAAAAAAAAGTAGACAATTAAAATTTTTAAGGACAATAATAATTTTTCAAAAACAGTAACTGAAAACAAAAGAATGAATAAAAGACGCAAATACAGTGTCCTTGTTCACGACTGTGTCAGATTTGGACACGATTGTCCACAACCTTACAACACAGGCATTGGCTCATTTGTGAGGAATGCGAGGACAATTTTGGTATTTTAATAAAGAATAAAAATGTCAGATTGACGTGGCCGGTAAAAGCGTTAGAGATTATACCTGATCTGGCCGGAGAAACACGACGTTTCCCAAAACGATGACGTTTCCGGACTCATCCAACGTCTTCGCGAACTCTAGACCTTGTTCGTGATTGGAGCAACCGTCGACGCACACGCGAACGAACTCGGAGTACGAAATCGAGTTCACCGGAATCTGTCTCAGCTTCGTTCTCAGCTTCTCTAGCAGCGAAACCCTCAGAATCTTCCTCGCATCGAGAACGGATATGCCGTCGAGAGATTCGGAATCCGCCGTCGCCGGAGGAGGAGGAGGAGGACTCAGTCCGTCGAGCCGGAGGTGGTCGCCGTTGATGTTCATGGACTTCAATCTCTCACTCAGCTTGTCTCCGATCGGAACGGAGAGGAAATCCGGGAGCCTGGTCGCCTGATTCATCCCTCTCCGTTGGAGGAAGCGGCGGAAGAAGCCGGTGTCGGCGGAATCCGGCGAGGTGAGGAACTCACGGTGGAAGCTTGTTCTGGCCGCATTTGGAGGGACTAGGGTTTTCAGGTTTGAAATGGGTGAATGTTGTAGAGTTACGACTGTAGATGATGTCTCTCTTTTCTCGCTCAATAGACGCTTCGCTAATGTCCTTCGAAGCGCCATTGATGAGAGAGAGAGCACTTCGATGATTTAGAGTGGGTGGAGGGGGCTTATATGGTGTGTCCCGAGAAAGAGGAAATATAGAGGATCTCCAAGATACTGCAAATGATATTAACATTTTTTTTTTGGACATTTTTTTTTTTTTTTTACTTTTTTATTTCTATAAAAGAAAATTGGAACACTTATTTCAAAAATATACTCAATATTATACACTTTTGAGGAATTATTTCATTTTAATTGAAACGTTAACATCATATTTGAAAAAGAATTTATGAAAGAGTAAGATGTTATATGTTATGAGATTATCTTTAATACAAAATGTTATTTCTACATAATAAAGTTATACTTTAAGACGAGCTACAGTACCAAAATGTTATATTTTAGTAATTCTACTTTAATGATGTACTTAATTCAAAATGTTATATTTTAGCAATTTCATTATTCTTACTTTTTCATATGACTTTTCAGTCCATATCTACACAAAAATCCAAAAAAAAGGTGTAGCATCTCAAGTTCTCTATTTATAGCAACTTGGAAAAGTTTTGAGAATCCCATATTTTGAGAGGTTGTATAGCACATCATTGAAATGTATCAGAAAGTAAGATTTCTTATACTTTGAGTTTGAGAAGACATTTGAAAGAGCATGGGAGATGCTTTGATTACTCTATTTAAGTGAAAAAGTTTGAAAATATTTCCTAAATAATTTTCGAATAGCCCCACCCCCAAAAATATATATACGTACGTGTTTAAAATAATAAAAAATTGTCTGAAAAAAAAAACATAACAATCTCATTGTAATGGGTGGAGTGCTGCCAGCACGGACTAGTTCCTTTGGTGCACGAGTTGGACAAAAGATCTCTCAGACTAAGAGGTCCTATGTTCAACTCCTTCTAAAGAGTGAATCTGGACTTACCCGATAGGTGTGACTTGCGGGCTGTTGCTCTTATTTGAGGATTTATATCGCAACTATAAGTCCAAAGAGCTGGTTGCGAAAGTTTTCACATCGCGCGCAAAATAAAATAAAATAAAATAAAAAAACCAGAAGAAGAAGAAGAAGGTCGGGTGCTTTATAGCCATTTCACTCTGCATCCAAATTCGATGTGACGCCACCACCCATTTCACTCTCAGGTAGGGGTGCAACTTGGATTGGGTAACCTGAACTTAACTCAAACCTGCTCGATTTTTCGTGGGCTTGGATAATTATTTTTACAAATAGCATTGGTCTGGGTTGAAAATTTTCAACCCGAATTTAATTAGGATTGGGCTTGGGTTGAGGTATTAGCACCCTGAGCAAACCCGAACCTGAATTCTAATATTACTTATATATATATTTTTAATGTTAAATACATTATATATAATAATTAAACTACGATTACCTTTTTTTATTTTCAACTTCATTTGTTAAATCTTAACTTATTGCATGTTAACATTTAAGATAATTAATTTTCTAAGAATAAGTTTGTAATTTATTCAAAATTTATAAAATATCCTTAAACTTCTTCTTTTTTGTTTGTTTAAGAGTAATTTAATCTAAAACTAATTCAAGATCATATTAAATATTTGCTATGAAGATTAACTACTTATATGAGTAACTCAAATTCACCCCAATTTTTAACATGGAATCTAAGCCCGAATTTAAAAGTAAAAGGATGGGTTGGGCTTGGGTTGAAGATAGGATTGGGTTGGGCTTGGGTTTTAGCATTTTATATGGTGGGTTAGGCTCAAATTATACCTCAAACTAGCCCGAGTTACAGCCCTACTCTTAGGGACAGCCAGGAAATTTGACTTAGGAGGCACATTAACACATGATAAAATAATTTTTTTAGTTAAAAAAAGAAAAGAAAAAGGGAAACTCATTTTCTTTCTTCTTTTTGCTTTAAGGACTCTTATGGAAATGCAACCGATTATGGAAGTCATTTTTTGAAAGAAAAAAAATTGTAATTTGATTGAAAAAAGAAAATGAAATTTTCTTTGAAGAGAATAAAAATATAATTAGAAGGATTTTTTTTTTTTTTTGAAAAAAAAAACACATAATTTAGGGGGGTCTTTCGTATTATTTAATAAATCATATGCATAAAATGTAAAAGAATTTAATATACTAGCTCTAGGGGCTAACCTGGGCCATGCTCGCTTTGTTCCTGTCCACTTTGCATCTGAATTTGATGTGACGTCCTCGTTGTCTACTCAAATGGCACACTAGAACATTTTCAGATAGGCGCTTGACATGACACCAGGTTAAGGATTGACCTGTCCATATTCGATGTGAGACATGGCTCCTTTCATAACACCCACCTAGGGGTGGCAAATTATGACATGACCTTTCAACACGACTCGAACACAACAAGAGATAAGCGGGTTGGGTTGACCTTAAACAGGTTCGAGTCATAAACGAGTAGACATAATTAATTCGTTTACTTAACCGTGTCGGGTTAGGGTTGAGGGATTCAACCTATGTAATCCGTTTATGACCCTTTTAACTCAACATGTTTTAATCGTGAATATGACCTATGTAATATGTTACATGTTTAAATCCAATTACTATGAATAATTAAGTCATTTCAATATAAATCTTGTCTCTGTCTTATGATTATTCTTCTTATTTTGAATATTTAGGTTAATTGTGACAATTTTTGTTATTATTTATTATTTAATTAAATATTAAATATCCCATTTTGATAAACAAGTCATTAAACAGATTAACATATTTACCCGTTTAATAAAGGGGTTGGGTTAGTATTGAAGGTTCTTGACACAATTATTAAATGAGTTGGATTTGAATTTATCTATTTAGTATAATACCTTTATATCGACACGACACGATTATAACCCACGAACACGAATTACCACCCCTGCACCCACCTTCTTCTTTTTCAATTTTTTTTCCTGGCAATCAGCCTACAACTGGGCAAGAAGCTAAAGTCATCTAAAATGATGTAAATCAGCTTGAGCACAAAGAAGAATATCCACTGGAATATGAGATAAAACAACGTCCTGACTGATGTAACTTCGCGAGAGCATAGCCACTTTATGGGCAACCTCATTGCCATTTCTCTTAACATGGCTAATCCGATATGAGGCAAATCGCTAAAGCACACACCAAAAATCATAAGCAAAAACTTTCATCTCCACTTGACAAGACTCCAGATTAATAATAGCGTTACATGCTACCTGGGAGTCATTCTCAAACCAACAATTAACATATCCAAACTGAAGAGCCCAAAAAGCTGCTTTACAAAGACAAAGGGCCTCTGCTATAGAGGCGTTCTGAGCCTTAAATGGACTAAACACTACAATCTGACAAATGGATCCAAGATCATCCATGAAGACTGCTCCACCTCCGCCTACATAAGAAAATGGAGAAAAAATGTGTCCACATTACATTTTATTTCTTTAGTTTGAGGAGGCACCCATCGCCCATCTGAGATTATGCTAGAACTGCCATCCCTTTGTGTCAACAGAGACATAGACACTAACAAATTTTGCACCTTCTCAAACTCCCAAAATTGATTGAAAGCAAGATTAACAACAGTTAAAAAATTATGCTGAATCTTATCATATAACCACACATTCCTAGCTTTCCAAATTTGCCAACAAAAATTAGCAATGAGGCCTAAAATATCCCTGCCCTCTTTGTTCAGCTCTAACCGTGAAATTAACCCTTCCCACCACGCCAAGAAAGAAACCGGATGAGAAGATTGAGAAAAATCGAATCGAAAAAGAGAAAGTTTCCAAACCTTAATAGATTGAGGGCAAAAAAAAATAAAAGATGGAGCACCGTCTCATCATCACAACCACATCTGGGACAAACCGGATTCACCACAACTCCATGCCTTTCCAGATTCTTCCGGACTGTAGGGGCATTTTTACTGCATTTCCACAAGAAAATTTTAACTTTCTCCACAGTGTGACATTTCCAAATCCCAAGCCAAGGGTCCTTCATCGAACCACTAAAAACACCACCAATATTATGATGAAAAGGCTGACCACAGATACTTTGAAAGGCCAAAAAATACGCCGACCGAACAGAGAATTTACCGTTACCCTCAAGAGCCCACACCAAACGATCATCCTTATTCAAGGCACTAAAAGGACATTTGAGAACAGCCTCCATAACATCAGAAGGAAACTAGTTCGTAAGCAACTTAACATTCCAGGAGTTAGTTTGGGGATTAATAAGATCCGACACCTTACAAGGGAAATTTTTACAGAGGGTTTAGTTAAAGCGCCATCAAAGTCAGGAATCCACCTATCTTCCCAAATATTTATACTCTGACCATTACCAACCATCTATATCTACCCATTTTTAATAAGGGATTGAGTCTCCCAAATACTTCGCCATGCCCATGATGGGTTGCTACCCAGCTTGGCTTAATAAAAGAGCAATTCTTGAAGTATTTAGCTTTCATCAATTGAAAAGCCAACCCTTTCATGAGAACTTGAAAATTCCAACCATGTTTTTCAAGAAGAGCCTTATTAAAAGCCTCAAAATTGCGAAAACTCAATCCACTAGAGGCTTTATCATCACATACTTCCTCCCAATTAACCCAGCAAATTTTATGAGATTGGTTAGACGCACCCCACCAAAATCGCCTAATATGAGAGGTAATTTGAGCACACAATTTACATGGGAGCTTGAAACATGACATAACACATGTTGGAAGGGCACCCAATACCGACTTCATCAACGCAGCTCTCCTTGTTGAAGAAAGAAAGCTTGATTTCCAACTAGCAAGGCGATCAGTCACCTTTTGAAGAACATTTGCACCCACCTACTATGCTAATGTGCTCGAAATAACTAGTTGGATGCATACATGAGATTGTACCGCAATAAATGAAATATCATGTGTATTCATACTTGTTCTTTGATTTAGTTTTACATAACATCATAAACGCGATCGAGCTCATAGTACAAACACCCTCATTATGACATTATTTTAAGAGATTAAAGCACAAGATTATTTATTTATTTATTTATTTTTTTGTATATTTGCACTCTCACCTTAAAAAATAAGGTGAACTATCCCGATTCTTTTTAAGGTTTGTCCAAATATCTCCCACCTGAAGCTATTGTTAAAATAGCCCATAACCTCCCTGGAGTTTATTTAAATATCTTTCAGCTAAAACTATTTTTAAAATAGCCTCTAACATCATTTGAGATTTGTCAAAATAACCTCTAAAGCCCTTTGAGATTTATCCAAATTTCTTTGACTATCCCTAACGTTAATCAATAGAATATTTTTTAAATCCCCAAACTACCCTTAAGTGAGAGAAAATGACTCAAA